CTCTCTCTCTCTCCCTCTCCCTCTCTCTCTCTCTCTCTCTCTCTCTCTCTCTCTCTCTCTCTCTCTCTCTCTCTCTCTCTCTCTCTCTCTCTCTCTCTCTCTCTCTCTCTCTCTCTCTCTTCTGAAGTTCTGACCAGTTAATTGTGTGGCATGTTAATGTGTTTCTGAAGTAAGTGCCATCACAGACGTTAAATATTCAATGTCGCCGCCAAATAGTACAGGGTAAATACCCGCCTCCTGTATTATGTCTGTCAGGATCTCTCTCTCTCTCTCTCTCTCTCTCTCTCTCTCTCTCTCTCTCTCTCTCTCTCTCTCTCTCTCTCTCTCTCTCTCTCTCTCTCTCTCTCTCTCTCTCTCTCTCTCTCTCTCTCTCTCTCTCTCCCTCTCTCTCTCTCTCTCTCTCTCTCTCTCTCTCTCTCTCTCTCTCTCTCTCTCTCTCTCTCTCTCTCTCTTCTGAAGTTCTGACCAGTTAATTGTGTGGCATGTTAATGTGTTTCTGAAGTAAGTGCCATCACAGACGTTAAATATTCAATGTCGCCGCCAAATAGTACAGGGTAAATACCCGCCTCCTGTATTATGTCTGTCAGGATCTCTCTCTCTCTCTCTCTCTCTCTCTCTCTCTCTCTCTCTCTCTCTCTCTCTCTCTCTCTCTCTCTCTCTCTCTCTCTCTCTCTCTCTCTCTCTCTCTCCTCTCTCTCTCTCTCTCTCTCTCTCTCTCTCTCTCTCTCTCTCTCTCTCTCTCTCTCTCTCTCTCTCTCTCTCTCTCTCTCTCTCTCTCTCTCTCTCTCTCTCTCTTCTGAAGTTCTGACCAGTTAATTGTGTGGCATGTTAATGTGTTTCTGAAGTAAGTGCCATCACAGACGTTAAATATTCAATGTCGCCGCCAAAGCTCCAGGGCTTCCTTGTACTCTTCAACAGCCGCCTATTAGTTATAATATATTCTCGCGACAGCAGCCATCAATTTGTGTGGTATTCTCACGGCAATGTGTTAAAACGATCAACCTCGTACCAATATACTCTAGGCTGTCATGTTTGAAAATCTGTAAAATATAATCTCTCCTAATTTGAAAATTAACATTCCCCCGTCTTTAGCATGACAGGTATGTTATGTACCCAATATATAATTGTATATAATATGTCAGGTATGTAGTGGAATATACTTATAATATGTAAAATATATGTTAAATATCAGTGCGCGTGTACTTTAACATGTCTTTTAATTGCTAACATGTCAATTTGGAGGAGTAGTAAGAGTTCCCAAGTTTTCTAAGAAATATCTCAGTGTATGTACTCACTACTCAGAGACCCTTGTACATATTACAGTAAAACCCCGATTTACCGTATACTGTATAGTTGGGAGAAGAAAATAGTTCGGTAAATCGGGGTTTTGACTTTTGGGTCCTCGTCACATGGTTTGATGGTTTCTCTTTGCACAATACTGGTTCCTAATTAGCCATTATGAGTATTGAGTAATGATTCACAAGTACTAAAGTAAGGGGAAGTAACTAGTCTGATAAGCTCGCTTGACATCAGGGACCCATTTATAACCCGTATTTCAAAAGATCACCTGATATCAAATTAAATATGTAGACATTTTGGAGGTACGGTAAATCAGGGTTTTACTGTATCCGAATGTACATTATATTTAATTATGTTGAATATTCATCCGGTGTGGGGGACTGGACATGCATATCCATAATTTGTAATGTATAGCATTTTTAACAAAAACATACCTTACTGCTGAAACGGAGATTCCAGACATTGTGGAGATTGTTTAACCGTGCATTGGTACGTACATTGCAAGGAAGTATTTATAATACTTGTTAATATAGTGGCCATATTATTGTTTAAAGTGAATCAAGCACAACATTCCATGATCATGTAAATGATAAATATTAGATTTTAATAATACTATAAATCATGCTAGATACTGGAAGTAATTATACCATTATAACCAATAACCATTTGCAATATGATGGAGAATTCGAAGTACGCGGTCAGGTACATTTTGCTAAAAACTTAAAAACTATTTGACGTTCACTAAAAATGTCCCTTTAAAAAAGATCATACCATTACAATGATAGCACAAGATGTAAGCGTCCGATCTCACCCAACATTAAGTCTACCCTTAGAGTGGCCTAATTTGGGCATTATGCCACCCATCAAGTTTGTTAGATGAAGAATCTAACCCTTTACCTTAAAATTGCATCATACACTACATACCATGCATGCTAATATTGCAATTTACCACAAAAATAGCTCTTTGTAAAAGCATCTGTACAGATAGCATTGAATTTGATACTTATAAAAAACGTGTAGACATATTGGATAATATATTCAAGCTTGTTTTGGCGGTTAGAATTGTTAAATATCTGTTTATAAACAAACACTGAGCTGCATAGTTTCAAAACAAGATTGTTTTCATACGACATCAACTAATTTATATATTAATTCAGCAGCTGTCCTTTATATTATGCAAAAAGGGATTATTCTGACGGTTTGTGTAGGTTTCTCTGCTAATGAAATAAACTCTCGCAATTCCTGACCTAAGAAAGTTACCCAATCCACTACTAAGTCCTGTAATACGACAGCAACTTTTACTTTATTGTAATCACAGCTAGCTTGATTAGTAACTATAAGTGTCGATGTTGATGACGTCAACGTTACAAGTCACTTAACAACTTAACAACACTTTTGCGTTAAAAATTGATATCGTCTGCGTTTGCTTGAAAAACTGCCAAAAAGCATTAGCAGCCGCATGTTAAAAGGTAGCAACTATACAATTACAACAGTAGGTCTGCCGTTTTCTGACGAAAGTTCTAAAAGACCATTTTTGGGATGTTGGATTCTTTTATCCAAATTTATATTTTGGGTCAGGAATAAGCCCTGAATACCATCAGAAATCATCAGAACCAACTGCCGGCCACCAGAAACCTTCTCTTGGGAACCCCTAAAATGCGGAAATTGACCAAACCTCCAAACATATTGTGACAAAAGAGATTAAAAACCTCGAATTTTGAAGTGGACTTTTGTGTCAGAGAACAACAGAGTTGTCTTCCAGCACTGACGAATCAGAACGCAGAATTGCTGTCACGTGTGAGACTAAATATGGTTTCCTCCACCAGCATCCAGATCTATAATTTGTCCCATGTTGGAACGCTGAGTAATCAATCCACATGCATAACGAATTATAAAAGGTTCTTGAGAAACTGGCGCTCCGACGCATGACAAGAATTATGCTAATATGCGCATTGTTTGCCTTTGAGTATTTCCAAAAGGCGGATGAAAGAGGCACTAACTATTTGGGGATCGAGAGCTATGTTATACCTTCAACCTTGAATAAGTTATTTTGAATATTATATATATTATTGAGAAAGTGCCCAGATCTATTTGTAAGGTTTTTAATGGTAATGGAAGTTGTCAGCAGTCAGTACCTGGTTGTCAAGATTTTATAGCGAGCAGTGTCGAATCTTAGCCAAGGCCTCAAGGCCCATGTCATCTTTTATTCTCCGAAGCTTCAGACAAATTGTAATTAAAGATTAAAATTTGTAGCCTACTTTGTGAAACCTGGCGACAGACTGGCTCCCAGCCAATTTGAACACGCCACGCTATTTCCAGAGCTGTAAGTAAAGTATATTATGTGCATAATCAATATGTCAAGCACTTGCTTAAAACCGTTCACTAAGCATGTTTCACTTGCCGTAGATTACGAGAAATAACGGAGCTTCTAAATTGTACTTCAACACTTAGTGATACTTAAAGTTGGAGTGTATGACGTGGAATGTTGACCATTTTACCACGAACCCTTTAAGCCTGAGTAAATGTTGCCCCGCTGACTAGTGGCAAATTAGTAGACTCATTTGAATATTTAACATAATATCCAGCTCCAACTGTCCTACATGTAATAGTGAGAGGGAGCTATTTATTTGCAGTAATACCTGGGGATAGCTAAATAGTTACTGACTGTGCCCCTACTGTGTTACGTATACTATTTACAGTAAATCGAGCTACCCAAGACTGACAATTTGTAATTATGAATGCTTATCCCTTATTTATCGCCTGCTAAATTGTGGTTAGCGGACGAAAATGACACCTATTTTAGTACTGGTCAGCATAATCATCTAAATTGGGACCTTTGTATAAAGAGACCGGAGTGAAAGCACCCATAACCTTAGTGGTTGCTATAAACTGGTATATATTTTGCTTAAATAGCAAATAGTGTAACTGCTTGGACTTTCTCTTTGGAAAGTTAATGTCGCGCAGGTTGACGGCAATCATAGGCTTTATCATTAAAACATATAACCAAGTTATCAATCTTCGACAGAGGTTTTCTCGATTCTTCCTTTGGTGTACTTAAACGTGCACATTGCGGATAACTCCGGATCAGATTACAGCTGATTCAGGATGTAATATTATATCACATTCAGTGGTTTATTCGATCATGCATTGCGGAGCAGAGTTGCATTGTCTTTAGATAAAGTTTGAAAAAAGGCGTTAAAATTGAACTCTAATCATGTTTTGCAGTGACTTTCGGAGTTTTTAGACATTAAAACCGAGTAATTGACGATGATTGTTGGCAGTTGGCTCTATCGTTGCAGTCCGCAATCCTCATATACGGCACGCGCATACGACTAATGGTTCATATGTAGAACTAGTGGCGCGAAATCCTCATTCGCTGATTAAATTAATTTTATTTGATGCGCCTGAAAATGCGCGTTAATTACAATTAGTAAAATAACTAAGATTTCGATATAATGTATGTTATACAATGTATGTTATAGCGATCGCCGGAGATTTCTCCGCCATAGCCCATAGTATTAAAGTGTAACGAATGACGATTCGCGAATAATGATTATATTTGCTTGGGACTTTGAATGATGCTGGCACTTGAGTCTTGAGTCTGAACGATAATTCTGTTCGATTCTAACCCAATTCCTCTACTCCAGCCTCTACCAATTATTTTTCATCAATTCGCCATAAATGAACAACACATTTTCCAGGTAATGTTCACAGAGGAAGATGTGAAGTACTATTTAGCTGAGATTTGTTTAGCACTCGGTCATCTACATAAACTGGGAATTATTTACAGAGATCTTAAACCAGAAAAGTGAGTGTGACAGCATATTTTAGAGGGATATTGTGTTTCTCATTTCAAGTGTGTTGACACTCGTAAAGTTTATGAACGATTTTTGCTCTCCTATTGGTATAGATTTGATGGAGCAATGAAAGCTGAACTCGTAATTTCAGTATACTACTGGACGTTGATGGTCACATAAAACTCACGGACTTTGGCCTTTGCAAAGAGGGTCTAGAGAAAGGAGACGAGGATAAAACCTTCTCTTTTTGTGGAACTGTAGAGTACATGGCTCCTGAGGTTTTTAATGCAACTTAAAAGCATTATTGTAACGTTTGCCACTACTGCCCTACGGAAGCCTGTGATGGACTAAAGTTGATGTATCTTAGATGCAGCATAGATTTGCAGTAATAATAAATAGCGATATTTGCATATATTTTCTCAAATTTAAATTGACACATCTATTTTGCGTAGGTAGTAAGTAGAAAGGGACACGGAACCACGGCAGATTGGTGGTCGTTTGGAGTTCTTATGTTCGAAATGTTAACGGGGGCCCTACCCTTTCAAGCTTCCAACAGGAAGGACACCATGCATCTTATACTCAAGTGAGTCCAATTTTTTCCTTTTCACCCTTTTGAAAAAAGGCAATAGTGAAAGGTTACGAATGGACGTTTTTGCAGAAAAACGTGGATTTTGGAGATTGCAGTAGGTGGGTCTGAATATGTCGTCGGTACGTACTTCCGTTAGTAACCATGTCAACGAAAAAGTTTCGCGCGCGAGGATTGCTTGCGGAGATGTGATGTATAGATAGCCTGTGATCTATGAATGCGCGGCGCAACTGTGTTTTAATGTATACGATGTAATGTATAATATTAGGTTATAAGCCCAATTTGTACGTGGCACGCGTAGTGTATTGATGTGTACACGAGTATAGTTTACATTTGCTTACAATTTAAGTTCTTTGCTTTACAAGTTATATATATTAAGTTCTTTGGCAATTGAACTGAATTTCAAGTGTTTCCTGTACTTAATGCATAATTTATCAATATTATTATCATGAAGACTGAAGTGAGCTGATTGGAGCTTATACTTAAATTTATAGTAAATGTGAAATGGAAATCTAGCGTCCGCCAAAACGAAGCAACGGGCGCAATTCTTGTTACAAGTTGACATCTTGATTTTGTTCCTGTGCCGTAACTACTAAAACTCGCAGTATTTTTAATTCGTCATAATTTTAATTTATTAACCACATATAAGATAACATAAATATTAAATAGCTTTCAAAATGTAAATACATTTTTGAATAAATAGAAAACTGTCCCCTCAAAATCAAACATGAATTATCTCCATTTCGATAAATTTGGACATAACTATCTGCATTTTATAATTAAGAATCCCAAGCATGCTGAATGTTTGATACTCTGTAGTTAGGTCCCTCCATTTCAATTCCCAGTTTCTGACCAATTTTAGCTCCCCACTCCAAGGCTTCATCACTTACCTGGATGTTGGCCAGAACTTTGTCTTTGCTGATTACACTGTTCCTCTGGGAGTCCTTATCCATCGCCGTCAGAGCCAACTCTACGTACTGTTCATCTATCCCAAACTCTTGGAAAATGCTCTTCACAAATGAGGATTTATCTGCCACTAGCGATTCGTAGCTATAAGACTTTATGTCACTTCTGTCTCTTGTTTCGTTTATGTACAAGTAGAAGTTCGCCAAAGTCATGATAATCGTGGTTTGCCCAAATTCTGCGACTCTGTTTTCCTTCCAAAGTTTCTGTATATGCTTAGGCATTTGGGGAATAAAAAACATCTCCATAACCCAAACTGGGCCTATACCAGAAAATGCACGAATCATTGACGTCATAGTTGGTCTCATTGCCCGGTGCATGTAGGTCTCCTTTATCCCGGGCATGACTTGGTGAACGAGAGGAAGAAGGTATATAATCTGAGAGTGAGTTTTGATGAAATATTTCTTGTTGGGGTCCGGTGTCAGAAGAACCAAAGTCTCTTTGAGCAGGTCATAAAACTCCTTTGCATCTCGCGTGATCGGCTGCTCCTTCTTCGTAAAGATATTCGCACAATCCATGAGGGCTATAGGTTCGGACAGCACCTGGCACTGTTTAGTTTTACTCACCATACTGGTCACCAGCGTGGAGCCACATCTCCCGATGTTGTGTAGTATCGCCACATTACTCCCATCCCTCTCCAACCTCCCACTTCCTCTCAGATAATCCACCACCACCTCCCGAGCCACTCTCCCCACCTCGACAGCTGAGTCGTGTTTCACCACGTAGAGGAAAGGATACTGCTCCGCGTCGTGTATATCCACCTCTGGTCTGGTCCGGACAAACACGAACTCCTCCTCAGTCAGGTGGTACAGAGTTACGTCATCCCGTTCTATCCAATCTAGGTCCTTTACTCCTGTGAACTTCAGAGTGTAGAGAACCGGGTCCCCGCCTTGCAGGGAAAAGGATTTCCAGTCGTAGAGTACGTCGTAGCACATGATACCGTTAGTTTTCCTATCTGAGCTGCTCGGTCCGAAGAAGAGGTTGATGAGGAGTTGAACTATTTTTGAGATGAGTCCAAATACTGCCCCCTTCGTGGCGATTACAACAAAACCCATCGTCATGTTCAAAAATACAAAATGTAGAAAATGTGCAAATATTACAACAGTTTAAGCGGTCAAACAGGGCCTGGATATTATCCAGCTACACAGAAAGGGAGGTGTAAGCTTCAAGTGTGTGATACAGTGTCATAAAGCAGGCGAATTAAAAGACATGAAATATGATACTATTCAGATAAAGGTCACAGGGACTAATTTCTGAGTAATTGTATTAGATGTTTAGACAAATTGGTCTAATCATACGTTAGTTATCTTTTAATTTCATTTTATGTTGCTTGACAATAGATAAAAGTTGCTCGAGACTAGAGTACTGATTACTAATGCATGTTATAAAATATCGCACATTTCACAATTGTACATGAATCTGTAAGAGAAGCCACTCTACATTCGATGATTTCTTTAATAGTTGTACGTGGTTCTGTCCGGACCAGAAGATTCCCTGACGAACAGAAATGTGATATCTAGAAACCCTAAAATTTACTTATAATGTAAAAATTAATGCTGTTGACATCTAAGTTATATAGCCCATTTTAAAATTGAGTCGCTTTTCAACAGAGGTTTTATTTAATCTAAATGCTGATGATTTAGTTTTTCATATTTCTATATTGTGCATCATCAAGAATAGGGTGATCAAAAATAATGTTGGGATTTTTTGAAATTATTAACTTTTTTAGTTATACAATTTTTTTTAATTAACAAATTTTGAAACATAAGTTGCTTGAATCAATTCATCAATGTTACGAAATTCATTCTTGCTTGTCATTTGATCCTGACTTAAAATTTGGACGATTTTTTGGCAACTTACCAAAAAGTTTAAAAATCTTAAACCTGTTTTTTTAGCGATTTTTAGAGGGTCGTCAATTTTAAAATCGAATTAAAATCGTTTAATTATTTATTTAAAGGTCTATTTCAACATTCTTTCCGGGCTATCCCTTTTAAAAGATCCCTAGAACATATTATACTCGTATAGCTTAATTTGAGAGATTCAAACGAATCTCAGGCATGAACCACTCAGGCATGGACAGGCATGGTTTTTCCATCCTCCCTCAAATTATATTGCGATACAAACAATTGTTTGAACTTACAAAATCTTTAGCCAGAAAATAAAAACAAGTCAAGAAATCGATCACAAATATTTCAGGAAAAAATAGCTCTCTTTTATTAAGAACTTTGACCTTTTATTTAAGATAAATATTAAAAATCTGATAAAAGATAAATCTTCTCCATTAAAAAGTTGGAAGGTGTGACATGTTTTGGGATGTTTTTAAAAGACTTAAAACATCGAATCAATATTACTTTGAGGCGATATAAGCGATGTCTTATCTGTGCACGTGTCACCGTCACATGTAATTTTAGTGCAATGTGTTAGGATTTCTTGATGAGACGATAAATATTAAAAAGCTTTTTGGTTTTTCTGGCTTGATAACTGATAAAGGCTCGGTTTTTTAAAAGACTTAAAACCTCGAATCAATATTACTTTGACGGACTATTACTCTATTATAAGCGATGTCATATCTGTGACGTGTCACCGTCACATGTAATTTTAGTGCAATGTGTTATGATTTCTTGATAAAACTCCGTTACAAATTGAACTGGTATCTGGCAATATATAATACTGCACCTAAGATCAATAAAATATGATAAAGTAATGTATAACTAGACTTAAGTAAAAGTCTAATAGAATATTCAATATAGAAAACAAAATACTAAATAGTCTACTGCTTGAAAGCTTAAAAATAAATATATCACTTTTAAAATACTGAATTTCTAACTTTTCAGGGCGAAACTAGGAATGCCTCAATTCCTGTCATCAAAAGCTCAGAGCTTGCTACGCGCAGTCTTCAAACGTAATCCCAACAACCGCTTAGGTGGGTTATGTTTATTTTCAAATCTCGTTAAACTTGATATAATAAATTGGAGTAATTTCTAGGTCTGCACGATTTGTATTTTTTTGATAAAATCATTTACATCATAATTCAAAAGTTCTGTCTGTCTGTCTGTCTGTCTGTCTGTCTGTCTGTCTGTCTGTCTGTCTGTCTGTCTGTCTGTCTGTCTGTCTGTCTGTCTGTCTGTCTGTCTGTCTGTCTGTTTGTCTGTCTGTCTGTCTGTCTGTCTGTCTGTCTGTCTGTCTGTCTGTCTGTCTAAACGACCGCGCATGTGCAAATTTGATGAGAAATAGGAAGTTGCATAGTAACCATGGTAACGGTGTTGAACAACAACGGTGCACAAGATTTCCGAGCGACATTTCACATTTTGATCGATTTTGTGGTAATTACGTTGGGTTTAGTGCGAGCAACATTTTAATCGGCTGTATCTTTGGTTCTTTGGTTGTGATGGATATTTATTGATGCGCGATAAAAACTTGCTATCAAAGAATACAATTAGCTTCCTCCCTGTGACCACGGGCTTTCTTGTTAAATAATAATATGATAACGAAAAAAAACAACAAATAACACAATCTATTTTCAGGGAAGCCACCATTGGATTATATAGAAATAAAGAATCACGACTTTTTCGCCACCATTGATTTCGATGTGAGTACAGTAATTGATAAGCGATTTTTTTATGTTTAAGTTTAAAGGATGTTATCAAAAGATAGTCTAAACTTTGGAAATAAGGTTAACTAGCAATATTAACGCTGATCCAGGATCGCATTTTGATACAGACTTCCGCAGCCGTTACTATGACCAGCATTGGTTGCTCGTTAAATGTCATTTACTGGAACTAATTTTCCTTGCATGTGCGCATCAGACTATAATCTATACTATAATTTAAACTTGACGAAATTTCCCCGGCAACGGGGAAAAAACACCGAAAATCGACCTCAAAATGACCCTCTGGTGATGCCAAACCCAGCTCGCAAATGGAGTTGAAACCTCGCCATTTTTAGCAGGGTTGTAGAAAAAGGATAGGAATAGGCTATAGCATTCTTAGAATTTTGATTTAGGCTTTAGATTTTTTATAATTAACGTCGGAAGTGAGGTAAAATAACCGTTAGAATAATGTCGTTTGTTTGGGGACTGGTTTGTAAGCCAGCCAATGTTTACGAATATAATATTAATAACTTTATTACATAATCATAAATATATATCATAAATAGATCAAATCTGAAACACAAATTTGCACGCAGTTAATAAATTTATAAAAAAAAGAAAATGAAAAAAAAAGGTTTATTGATAAAAACAAAATATGGAGCACTCTGTGCTTCCAACAGCCTTTCAGACTCGCGCTAAGTTTGTTAGGGACTGATTTAGGATATCGTAGATATTGCTATGCCATGCCATTAGTTTGGATATGTAGTGTTTGTGATTGTTGAAATCAATTAATCACGGTTTGTGCTGATAGGAAAATAGTGATAGTGGGGAATGTGGCAGTGTAAATATGGACCTGGAATTTAGGATGTGTGGCTTATCCATTAATATTAGTTGCCGCTAGTCTGTGATCAGTTTGTTCTGGTTTTTTTGTGTGCAAATATATATTCATAGTTTATTTTTGTAATATCATATAATATATAGTACTTAATAATAACCATATGACTAATAACTGATTTACTAATTAACTAATTAACTAATTCACTAAACTGATATAATGACCGTTGTGTCCAGTAACTTTCAGACACGTTGTGACCTTCTTAGACCTGGAATATTATGTAATAAGAAACTGGGCCACGTGTCATCGTCATTTTCACTCTGCAGGTTCAAGAGTATGCGTTTTGTAGCCGATTTAAAAAGGTTTATGGAAAAAAGTGTGGGTAGGGTGCTTACATTTGCATTTACAGCATAAATTGAGAGTAAAGGTCCTTTGAAAAACATCGAAGATCTGAAATGTGTGGTGTTGTACTCGGCTAACCAGGATGCTGCAGTCACGTGATCTGAGTTTGCAGTGGGTGCATTTTCTGGGATAGTCATACAGATTTGTTGAGGGACTGAGCTGCGGAAATGTTTGATTCGGTGCATGAGAATTAGTGTGTTTTTTACAATAACACTGTGCACCGTGAGTAATACCATTGTTAGGAAAAAATTGTTGTGTGGGTGTCTGGCAGTCGACCGTCTTTGTAAAACAGTAAATTAATGTGACCTGGCATTACTGCCCCTATACCCTGTTTTGTCGTGAGAAGAGTGAGTCAATGTGATGTGTTTTTGCTGCAAACCCCCCATACAATTGAACAGAATTTAAATGCGATTGAACAAAACTTTTGATATATCTGTAGCCTTATTTGAATCGATAGGTGACGTTTATGTTGTATACATAATTCCACTACATTACCGCATCATTTTTGATTCTAAAAGCGCCTTTGCTATGAAGCTTTAGAACCTGTTAGTTTTTATCTTCCATTATATACGCAAGGAAACCGTGCTTCCCCTTTTATCGTTCTAATGTGTTCCCTGAAAATGAATATTTGAGTATTTTCAGTATTCTAACACGAAAAAGCAATTGCATCTTTGTTTAGATGTAAGTGCAAGTCCATTACAGTCAACCCAGCGTATTTAGCTAAGGTTTACTGCGCGGTTGCTAGCAACTTTAAAATCTAGTCGCGAGCAATAACATCTTAACTACGCGCCGTTTGTTATGCTGTATGCTACGTCATAAATTCTATCTACCACATTTAACGCTCAACGCTATGACTTAGATGCATAACTTTGGTTGTGATTGGTTTTTTTGATGCTGTAAAAAAAGTATCGTTTTGGGAATCCCGAAAACATCAACGCTGTCGCCAATTGTAATTAAATTCCATTATGTCTACTGTATAAACCAAGCTGTATGATGAAGAAAATAAAAACAGAACTATGTTTAAATTTCCTGAACAAAGCGTTTCGACTAGCGGGTTCTTGTCTACTATAATCTAATAGCATCAGACTATAAGCTACTATAATCGTACTATCATCAGACTATAATCCTCTATAATCTACTAGGATCTACCTACTATAATCTACGATAATCTCACGCCTCGTTATCTATCGTAAATTAACTGAGTGAGGCGGAGCTGCGAGATCGAGAAGCCCCGTTTTAAAGTCACTATATGTTATAAGCATAACACATCAAGGCGATTAAAAACGCAAATAACACAGTCGATTGGCTCATTCTCTGTTGATCATCTCTTTGGAGATTTGAGGTCTCTCAACTTTACTTAAGTTTGAGTGTGTCCCACAACCAAGGCACCATGCCGAGAAGTCCGCTGTGATGTATTTTAATACATAGATCCTGACCTAAAGGCAAGGAAGCTCTCAAATCTACAGCAACAACAACAAAAGAAAAAAAAACACAGTCGAGTGGCGATATCATGATGTAACTCTTGATCTGAGACTCAAACTCATTCCACATAGAATGTTATCATTGAGCATAAACTGAAACTCCTAATTCACACGTAGACCAGAAAATTGTTAGTACTTTTGGGCATTAAACAGTACCATACCTTTGTAGATATAAGATAAATTGTTGAATTTTGATTGAATTGAATTTTGATTGATATTGGATTTAGATTTAATTTAGGGTGCACTAAAGTTCGAAGTTAATCAACACGTGATTTTATGTGGCTTGGGCCGCTCCTAACTTGAATTTCACACGTGGCAAAGAATTTTAAATATCTTTTTGGCATTAATACACACCTTTGTATAAATGAATAATTGTGAATTTTGATCGAATTGAAATTTATCGAATTTGAAATTTGATCGATTTGATTTTTGATTGAATTGGATTTAGATTTAATGGAGGTGCCTAAAGTTAGTGCATAGTCACTTTGACCTTCTGACTGCGCCCCCAAACATAAGTAGTACGTATACCAGCGCTAAAGCTTGGACAAAGTTGTGCTGTATATTTTAGAACAACACGAAAACGAGCACACAATATGTAAACCCATTATTTAAAAAAGCTAAATGTGCTCAGACTCTTACCCCTACTACTTAAATTTTAAACTGTTCTCGCTCACCTGAAGAACTGGACAAAAAATAATAAATAAAATCCTCTAACAGATAATCCTACCAGCACACACTGAATGATCTAGGGCTTTGCTTAGTTTGTGCTTGTGCACGAGGGCCAGTGCCAATGCTAAGATGGCAAGTACGTACGGTATACGTACCTTGAATTAGCTGGTACGGTACTTCTTAAATAAAGTAGGCCTGAAAGGTTACAAATCCAGTTTGTTAGCAATGACAAGCGTAGTATAAGGTTGCGACCTGACGAGCTGAAAAGCTGGTGTTTCGGATACGGCAACGAAAATGAAGCTTATGAGTTTAACGATAATTACAAGTTAGTATAGTGTAGTACCGGTTATGTTGTGTGTTTATTTTGCGACTCTAGTTCGTCTCAATTATTATGAATGATACAATACAAATAAAAAATTGCCATAAGTCCTGAAGAGAGTGATTCAAAATGTGAAAAAAAAATTGTACTTACAGGGCCTGGTACCGTAACGTACCTTAAAAGTAGCGTACCGTAAGTACTTAAAGCCCTGTACCGTACTACTTTGCCATCTAAGGTGCAATGTGCACGGAAGCCAGTGCAGTGTGCACTGAAGCCAGTGCAAAATGTGCACTGAGGCAGTCAAATGCTCTGAGGGCTGGTGCAATGTGCAACTGAGAGCCAGTGCAAGGTGCAACTGAGGGCTGGTGCATAAATCGTGAAAAGGTAAAGCCAGGGGCTCTCAAGGATAAAAGGGGTAGATCGTTGAAATGGAGTAGTTGCGTTAAATACCCTCTCAGCTCGCTAAGGGTATCCGATTTTAAAAGTGAATTTAAATCCGGTTAATCCGTTTAATAAATTTATAATTAAGTCGTGATGCAGCCTCTCTCTGAAACCATATATTAACAAGGAAACTGAACCAGTGGTATGACAGGGAGGTTTACAGTATTATTAAAAGGGAAGCGATTTAACTCACTGCTTTTCCTGATTCCAGGATCACAGTTTTTATCAGAATTTTTTATGTAAGCTTAAGGTCGTTGTCACCACAGTCACAGTCTTTGCAACATGCCCACGTCAGCAAACGGAAATGGGTTTACTTTAAATTAACTGAAGCAATCAACGATACACAAACTGAGTTTACTGTTTCCGTTATTTATATTATACCGTGCGTTACAAACTTGCTGAGGAGCCAGTGCAATGTGCACTGAGAGCCAGGCCAGGGCACTGAGGCCGGTGTATAAATCCTTGAAAATTAAACCAGGGCTCTCAAGGGATATCGTGAAAGGAGTAGTTGCGTTAAATTCCGCGCAGCTCCAGGGCCCGGATTTAAAAAGGGAGTTGTTAACTTCGGCTAATTGTAAGAGCATTTTAAACACACCATTTGATAGAAGTATGTAAGCTTTAACGTCGTTGTCACCAGCTGTCACAACTCACAGCCTACTGGGCAACATGCCACTCAGCAAACGGAAATATAAACTTTGAATTACTGGAAGCAATCCAACTGAACTCAGAACTGAGTTCAGCTGTTTCCGTGATTTATATAACCGTCGTTACAAATCCCCGTTCACGCTACTGATCTATTAGACGGCTTGGTGATGACTTTAGTCGTTTAAACATGCAATGAACGATATTTTTCTCCAAAATTCTAATATAACCCTGACATTTTAAATGGAACCTCCCCATATTGTCGCGCGTAAGAAAAGGTAACTCCGAGTGCGGTGCAGTGGCGACTTAAAATAATAGTGGTGTTTATTAAACACACTATATTTATAAATGAATAAGTTCAGTTAGATCAAGGAATGACCTACATCGGAACTGAGTTAAGAAAGTTAGAAGTCAGCTCTTATTTATACTGCAGTCTACCTACTACCATCGCGCGTTAGGTCTCTTTAACGCGTTACCATAGATAATTTGCAACAATCTATTCAACATGGACCAGAAAAGATGGCTATTTCAATAAAAGGCTGTGTTGAGTATTGAACTTGAAGCTCGCGTGAACCACCAACCAAAAGACTGCCTTGAGGCCAATAGACCGCCTAGCGAGAAGGATTATTGTCAAATACGTTCCATCCGGCTGCAAATATTGATTGACATGCGCGTGACCTCATCAGTCGACCGTCGAATCGTTTAGACAACACGGACACCAATGTTCCAATATGCGGTAGTTAATATTTACCAAAACCCAGAATCAATGTAGAAGTGGACCGCGCTCCAGTGTCTCTCTTGCCCAACAAAAAGTAAATGATATTAATTTGATTGACCGTTCTCAAATGCAAAATGATACCGAGAATGTAATCGTCCGCTCGCTTTTTGATTATAATGTCAGGGGTAAACTTTATAAAGCGAAAATATAAACTGATATCTTCATTAATAAGGAGGAAAGTTTCAACGATTTCGAATTTTTCCTTTAAAAAACATTTGTCCTTGTGTTTAGGAAGCATATCGGTCGATCACTGACTGAATAGTGAATAGGCCACTTAATACGCATTCCAAGGGCATTAAATTCATATATAAGGACATTAAACTGTCGTGGCAAAGCAAAATTTGGTTTGAAATCACGATGAGCAAATTTCTCACCTTTCGCACGTGCAAACTTTGAGCGGAGGTTTGCGTGCGCATCCAATATTGATTCGCCGTAAAAGTTTTGCATGATGGGTTATATATAGTTTATAAGCAAGCAAAGTTTCAAATATTTCAAAGAAAACTGAATCACAACGGCACTCTAAAGTTTGAAAAAATGTCGAAAACAGCAATTTCAGTGATTTTAGCATTTCTATCATTTGGGGGATGTCCCCACGTGTGCAACTTTTCGCTTTTCAACTTTAAAACTAGCCAATGCACAATTATACCTATAAAAAGCAGAACTGGAGCTCCACAACCCAAGGCATGGCCAACACCAAGAATAACGAAATCCAAAATTGACGTTTTTAGAAAATAATGCTTCAAAAAAGCACAAACTTCAATGACGAATATCTTTATGAAGGAGCAAGAAGCTAAAAAACTTTCCGGTAGATTTTCATAATGCGTGAACATTGATCTAGAGGCAAATTTTCCATCAGTTTTTTGAATAAAATTACTCCTTAATGGTTAAAATTAAGTTTAAATTATTAACTTTGTTTAAAATATCAAGTTTAAAAAGACAACGGAGGACGTCATCAAGGTGTTGCAGAGAGACGCATCCAAATATTTTTTATACAATGTAAACTAAAGTGTAAACAATTAGTTGCAAGACCTGTGGTCGAAATGCTGTATCTTTTTACTTTGAATCTATGGACACTTAAATTCAGGATACAATTTGACTGGCAAAGCGTCTATCCTGAATATGTAGTATTAAATAATCACGACAATCGAGCGTAAAACAGGGTTTCTAGAAAACCCACTCCCGAGCCTCGGAAACCTGAACTTTTGTTTGCAGTCGATTTGTCCAACGTCTAGACGGCCAGAAAAAATTTTTTTCCAGATCCTAACTCATTTTAACATGGTTTTAAAGGCACCGATTTTCGTATAACAGTGCGGGCGAGTATTTAATGCAAAGTTCGGAAAATTCTCAACAGAACTATTTTTATTCCGTCATCTTTGACATAAAATTGACAAGTTTTGAACAAAAATAAATCTGCTGACGACTTCCCGATGAGTCTTTAAGCAGAAAAACTCCTGCTGAGGCGTGGGCCTCGGACAGCCGCCGCCCCGAGTGCACGCTTCGCGTGCACGAAAGAGGCTTGTAACGTGTACCAAAGGGGTATAATATAAGGGGTATGAAATAAATGGGTACAAGTATACCCCATTAAATGCTACGTCTTGCTTGCAGCACCGTGACAGCGATAGCTCAAAACTGGGAATAAATTTGTAGAAAAGTTGGTGATATTAATTCCATACGTGCAACAGCAAGACAGAAGCATACCTGACGTCAAACCATAAACTCGCATTATACTGGCCTTACCCTTAAAAACTGCGCGAGCATATCGCTTCTAGAAACATTCAAAGGGCATAGGTGATATCACCGAATTTATTACAATAGCTTCAGAGTTTCAAATATTATTATAAAATACAGATTTAGCTGTTTATATAATCAATTCCCTAGCTAGAGACTAAACAAAAGGCGTTGAAACCTCCCTTCCGACCTACAATCGGTACGAACGAACTCATTACTTGACACTGAGTTCACTGTTAAGGTACCTAGTGAAGCCCCTGCCGCGCCAGTCAGCGCTGCTTCTCATCCCCCCAGTGAATTCACTGTATTTAGATGATAGGTATAAAGCAGTTAATTGGATTTACTTTTATATATATTGTTTTAACATTCGAATTCCCCAGTCTCTTTTTTTGAGACTGACATAATGTTATCCTCAGATAGTTCATAAGTCGATTCACTTCGGCGCTGCCATTCCTAACAATTAAGTTTTGGGGGGGGGGGGGTGGGGGGGGGGGGGGGGGGGGGGGGGGGGGACAGAGATATAAGAGTCACAACAGGAAGAAAATTCCCTTGACTAAAATACCCCTATATCTGAGGAGTAGGAAGTGTTAGATGTTCACTGGCTTACGATCTTTCTCTCAGTGATATTGAGTTAGTTTGTTAAGTACGAAACTTGAAACAGGAGAGGGAGAGCATAGTTTTTGGTCAGTACGCACTGTACGACTTTTAAAAGGTGCCGAAACTGTACGAATTTTAAAAAGCTGTCGAGAATTTTACCGAATTTTAAACCATCTGATCCACCGTCCGATTTGAAAAACCTGGACAGTTTGCTTCGTCAGAGTTTTGCGGCACTATTGGCACTATACAGACAGAAAAACACTAGACCGAACACACACACACACACACACATCTATTGAGATTATAGTATAGATGTTTATAATATACCTGGATTCGTTCGTCAATTAGCACGATTATATTTATATTGAGCACATATTTCCAGCCCAAAACATTTCCAAGTTCAGTGATTTCATCTGGGATAGATGAACAGTGTTACTTGTCACGGAGGACCATTCTTGCATTGTAAATTGCATTATAGGAGCGAACCCCTGATGTACAGTGGTTTTATAAAATCCAGTCGCAAACGGTCCGACTATTGGAGATAAAATAAAATAAATCTCGGTTATGTAAATTCTCGTTATTAGCACCACGCCAGAGAAAATATCGAGTCTAGACCAGCGAACTTGATGCAGTATACTAATGCAATAAATACACCTCACAGGTTGGAGATGTTACGAGTGGGAATCGAATGAAATAGAATCTGCTTGTCCAAAGTTGTCGAGCTCTATTAAATTGCAACGTTCATCTATAAATTTCAGCACTGAATTTGCTACTTTTCTATGGAACGATTTGTTGTAGAAACACTGTTTCAATTCATTAAAGAAAAACTTTAAAGATCTGTTTATAAGTGCTATCGTTAATGTGTGCTGTACATCAATCCTGATCGCCATGATTAATAGTAGTAAATATCGCAAAGAATGCCAAGTAAAATCAGGATATTCGTTGAAAATGAAAATTATTTCCGATCCATGACTCAAAGTGCACAAAAGATCAAGGACAAGGTTAACGTCGAGGTTTTTTTTTGTATATGGTAGCTGTCGTCCGTGCCTGCGTGCGTGCCTCGGCGAGCGTACGTGTCCGCCCACTGTCCGGCCTGCGCAAAGTTTATGTTGCGCGAAAAACTAAATTAAGGGGGGGGTTCACCGAATTTGTGTAACTTGGTTTCGAGATAGCATAGTTGTTGACCACAACCTAAGACCAGTGACCGAACTTTTGAGTGGGTCCCGACCCCACCGCCAAACGTGACCAACATCCCAATTTTACGGTGCTCTACTTGTAGCTATGGTTCCTATCTCGTTTAGGAATTTTCATCCAAGATGAAAAAAAGGACTGAGGTATAGCAAAAAACCATATGACCATATTTGGCATACGCACCAAATTTGATCGATTTTCCCATAAATTGGTCAAATATCAATTATTTTTGAAGAAAAACCAACTATATATGAAGGTAAGCCTATACTACACTTTATCATGATTTATCAGCCTCATATCTACCAATTGCGGATTCTATGTTCAAAAAAAATTTGCGGTCCAAATTCCAAAATTGCACGCTACATTTAAAGTTGGCCGCAAAATTTTTAAAGCCTAACTCAAAATTCGGTCCCAAAACTAAGTCATGAGACAAATCTACGTTGATTCTAAAATTTCAGAAAAATATTTTGAAACCCTATGGATTTTCAGTTGTTTGTGAGCGAAGTCATTTTGCAAAATATCGCAACTGAGATTAGGGCAATTTTGTTCATTTTTTGCGATTATTTAACATAGAAATCTTCATTTAGGTAATACTGAACGATAATCAATAGATAATTGTAGATAGGCTTACCTTCCTATAAAGTTGGTTTCAGCTAATGATTGAAGTGACCAATATAATATTTTTGGGCCCCCCCCAAAATCGATCAAATTGGTGCGTATGCCCTTATAGGGTCATATGGGTTGTTTCTCATAACTCAGTCATTTTTTGCCAATCTTGATGAAAATTCAGCTACAGTGCAGGAAACCACTAGCGACAATAAACACTTAATCTGACTGTGGCAGGTTTCCGGTATTGCTAATGTGTCCCAATTTGGACCAAATATGGGCGGTGCCTGCCCCGCGGGCACCGTTTTGGCGGTTTGGGGCCGGACCCCCTAAAAATGTGGTCACTGGCCAGTTTTGGTCAACTACTATCTCAAACCATTTGTCACAAAAAAATCAGTGAACCCACCCCCCCCCCCCCCCTAAAACAATTGTTGGCGGCGCGGGCAAAGGTGCAAGTACGTACAATGTTAATTTCACCAGTACGCATCCCGCTAGGGACTAATTGATAAGAATACGCATAGTATAGTAGTTTGATTAGTAATGACAATTTTGCAAAAGAGCCGTGCAGGTTGCAGAAAACATATTGGTTACAAAGAAATATACACGATTTCCAAAGGAAATAGAATATATCAACTGGGCGCGCTCGCCTTCTACGCTCCGCGTACTGCATGGGTTAGAACTGCAAAGACTGGGGGTCCCTCAGGTGGTAAATGGAATAATGATCAAATACGCAAACACGATCGGGAAATTGAGCGCTTTCACAAAAAGAAAAGCGCTGCATTCTTGTTTTTTAGTGTCGCTTCTGAAAAAATTCTAATGAATTTAAACCATAAAAAAATCTATCATCATATCGATTCCTGAATAATGGTACTGTAGATAAAGAGGTATTTAACCTCGCCTAAAAGCACCGGTGTTTGAAAAGTACTTATCTATCAAACGGACTCTAGTTAATTTAAAGAGTGAAGTTCTTTCGATAAATCCAAGTTCGAAAATTTATGAAGGCAATTGTTCTCGACTAATCCCAACTGAAAAAAGGTGCCGACTGTACGACATTTTTTACGACTTTTTTGTATGAACTGAACCAACTATGGGGAGAGCACTACAATTTTTTGCTATATTATTAGTTTAACATTGAATGACCGTCAGTTAAAAATTTCTAATACATAGATTTCTATTTTAAAAGAGTGCCCTTCTAAATTGGAAATGTAGTGAGTAGTCCTCTTTTCCCTCCAACTCACAGTTCACAGTGTAGACACATAAATCAGGAGTGGACTCCGCGTCAAGATAATTGACAATTTAATACATCCTGAGAAGAATTCAGATCTTTGCGATCCCCACTCACCCCAACATTATAATTATAAAGACGTAGTCGATGATGGCAGAAGTGAATTTGAAACTTTTTCGGGTATTTTTAGTAAGTAAGATAATTTATTTACAATTCAAAATTCAAACAATTTTATGATTCAACGTTCAAAGTACCTCAGTGAGCAAAGCACTCAGACAAATCATTGCTTACAGAACCAAATTTATTATACTGTGTTCTTGAGATATAACCTGAAAAATGACTGCTGGGATGATAGTTCGAGTCGATGCAGGGAGGGAACTGTTGGACCAGAGAGTAACCACATGCTTTCAGTGAGCGTGAAAGCTCGAGCAGCATGTACAGTGTGGTTAAAAACTGTCAACTTTCGCTTCACCAAGAGGGTGTCTGTAAAAAGTTTAATCTTGTTAATCGTTTAAAACACGAGGTCGTGATCATGATTAGTCACTGCATTTTCACCGAAGTATTAGTAATAGTAATGTTGTCTGGCTCAACAAAAGAAAAATATATATTCTATAAACTATAACCCAATGCATTTCTAGGTAGCTCACAGAGATTTAAGCCCAGTAATATAATGTACTGTGAACTAGTCATACAAACCTACCTCTCTCCGGATCGTTGATTTTCGGTTCGCCAAGCTGAGATCAGAAAACGGCCTACTGATACCCCCTGCTATAACCGCGAACTTGTAGCCCCAAAGGTCGTGGTTAGGTTATTGAACCATTTTATATGAAAAGGGCTGTTTTTAGTAAATATTTACTATTGTCTGTCAGCTGATTCTTTAGTGAACCTGTGTCCCTGCATTTAAACTAATCATTTGACGGACAATCCTTGTTACAACCGTTCCACTTTCATATTAAGCCAGCAAGGTTTATTATGCTGCCATTGACATTGAGTTTGAGTTCCTCTGTACACGATTTTCTGGGTAAGATTATACACTGGCTGATTAGTAGTAATGTTTCAGTTAGATTATTACGGGATGATGAAGTATAGGTAAGTATCTAGAAGTTCACGAAATCTGTCGTTAAACAGGTGCCAGGGGCGTTCCTGAAACCTATACTCCTGAAACTTTAAAACACTGTTTTAGCAGCGTTTGGGCTAACCAAATGCAAAATTTCAGATCCTGAACCTATTTCAACATGGTTTTTAAACACCTGACATATGCATTTTGGAGTTTTTTTTTAAACCGTTTTAACGCGGCGTATTATATCAAAATATCTTTAAATCTCCACATAGCATGTAAATATTCCTTCATCTTAAACATTGAATTAGAATAGTTTGAAACTAACAAATTAACCTGTTGAAAACCACTTCGATGAGCCTAAATGAAAGAAATAATATAATGAGTATAATGGCTGTCGGCTTTGCGTGCCAGCACTGTCCCATGTCCAGAAGGAAGACACTTATGAGGCTTGTATGTTTCTGATGAAATTTCTGATAATTCCGTAGATTTAAGGTACTAAAACTTTTTAATACTTCACACGACACATAACAAATAATTTGAGAACATGTATAATCAACGTTTTAGTTGCACAATTTTCTTTACCTGAAAAAAAGAAGTTACCCTATTTC